GACTATTCTTGTTTATTCTTGGCAACTATATAAATTGATTCTTGATTATAAACAATTTTTATTAAAGATTCATCATTTCTTTACCAAAAACCCTTATTCTTCAATTACAACCAAATTTGTCCACGTTTTATATCAAAATTTGTGTTCTTGATTTCTAAAACCCCAATTTTGGTTATGAGAAATATAAATTATTTCTTGAAGATCTCTTCTATGTTTTCCTAAATTATTTATGTTGAAAGGTTATGAAACTATGTTTCTTGATTGTGACTGGGTTTCTCAGAAAATTGTGGAAAATATCTCATGTATTACTGGGTGTGATTAACATGGGTTGCATTTGACCAGGTATCATAGGGGGGGTTAGATGAGTTTTTTACCTCAAGAGGTTTGAAGGTTTTCTAACACTCGTAATGGGTTGGTGACTTGCGAAGACTAAACCATTATCCGCTCATGGTGATCAAGACAAAGGATTAGTATACTATTCCTAGGAAGTTACGTCAATGCTAAAACATCGGTACATATGCTTCTTGAAAATGTACGTTAGCCTACCTATATATTGTATATGAGATACATGTTGATTATATTGATGTATGGGGTTTGAGAGCAATGATCTTACTGGTTCATGAATTTTTATTGTATTTATCGTACAACTCAGATCTTACAAATTGTCACTGTTTTAGTTCAAAATTATGCTTATCATTTTGACGAATAAGACATACCGTGTTATGTTTTCAAATTTTTTTTGGGTTCCAAAGGGTTTCTTTAATGGGATTTTGGTCATCCAACGTGAACAATATTTTTCAGATTTTGGGATTGAGGAGAACCTTGGGATAGGTGAGCAGATTGACTGGGATTTTGGAGCAGATGATGAAGTGGATTCAAAAGTATATGTTTAGAGCTAATGCTCTATACTAGTTTAAATTTCTTTTATGACTATGAGACAATGTTAGGAGTATTATTTTCTATACTACTACTACTACTAGATTTTGCTTGGATTTTGAGATGTAATTGAAGATTTAAACTATGTTTAGTTGGAGTTGTTTGAGTTTATTTATTCAATGGATGGATGTTTTGGTATTACTTCATTTATTGATGGGGGTTTGTAGTTGATCACATTATTGAATGTTTGGTAGATAGTTAATGTCTTCCAAGGTGGATTTTAGGACATTACAATTGTAGTCTCTCCAACTTAAAATTCAAAACCAAACAATAACTAGAAGTGGAATAATTAAATATAATGAAAACAATGTTTCATAGCCAACTTTGAAAAAAAAAATTCTAGGATATGAAGAAGCATCTCTAAGCCTCCACGTCGGGATCCACATATTGATCCTCTTCATTCTCGAGATCAACCTGCTCATCTAATCCTACATTCTCTTCTTTGACAAAATCCATAAATTTTGTTATAGGGGGTGAGAAAAAGCCTACAGGAAATCCCCCTCAAATCCAAATAAGGTTTTAAAATAGTATAAAGAAGGCAAGTCTCTTTTGAAAAATAACATATAGATCTTTTTGAAAGTAAAAGCATGACAGTTGTAATGATCTCAATAATAAGAATTATAGTAAATCAATGGCAAGAATAAACATTTAAAGATCAGAGTAATCAATAAATAATTCAATAACAATATCTTAGTTTTCTCATGTATCTCATGCATATTGGTTGCTTCTCAGGAATCTACACAACGATCCTACCTCATTCACCAAACAAAAACTCACAATCCCAATAATTCCCCGCAGGGCCAAATCACAAACCACTTTAGGAAAGACCTATTCCATCTCACTCAACTTTAACAAATCCTTCCCAAGAAAGGTATACTATCCCTCAACCTCAAATCTACATAAATAATAGTGGTTGATCTCACAAGCAACAACCAACTATAAGTGTTATGTAACCATCACACCCCTACTTGGATAGACTAACCTCTAAGGCACTACGGTAGCTCTCGAAGGCAATTCAAGTCCATCACACCCAAACCATATAGAGATAAAACCACAACTTCACCAAAACGTGTATTCAACCAACTATAAATTTCAGAATTTTCATTATAAAAATACTAATAATGATAATGGAATCAAAATAAGCAAGAGATCAAATCAATAAAAGCTTCCTAATTGCGCTACAAAATTCTAGTGTTTTGCCAAAAAATCTCAATTTATTGGAACAAGAACAAGTATTTGATTGAAACATAATTTAATCAAGAATAGGAATTTAGAAATAAAAAAATCCACATATTTTCACATTAAAACATGTATTTAGCAAACAAGAATTTTAAAAATTCAAGAACGATATTTCTCGTATGCAAGGCATGTATCTTGTTTAAAACCATATGTTAGTTGAGAGAAAATCAAGAACGAATGATTATCTAAGATATAATAATCGAGGACATTCAAAACATACATACATAATATCCTAAGTCTCAATGAAAAAACTTAAAAAGAATCCCCTATCTTAATTCCTATAATCTTTGATCCTGACGTATTTTGATGTGATTCCCCGATGTTAATCTATCAAAATATCTCACCCTTTCTTCTCCCCAATTACCTTTAGCTTTCTAGGGTTGAAATAATGATTAACATAGCCTAAAAATCATCAATAGGGTATTTAAAGGACTAAAATTAGAGAAAATGCTAAAAATTGAATGGGCTAAACTCAGAGGCGCATTCTAATGGCTAATGTGCATTTTGATGGTGTGCATTCGAACGGTTGGTGTGTGTTCTGATGGAGTGCATTCGAATGGTTGGTGTGCATTCGAATGGTGAATTCTCTCAAGCAATCTCTATCCAAGCTTCATGTTCAAACGACACTTCACCTTTCAGACGGAGGTGACTCTCTATGCTTGATTTTGGCTCAATTTTGACCTAGTTAGAAGCTGATTCATGACATTTTCAAGAAATACACTTTTGTAGCTATGTAATTCTAGTTGGTACTATAGAAATTTCAGTTCAATTGGACATTGGGAGAAAAATTTATAGGCAAAATACTAATGCAGTGTCCAATCTCTTATCTGAATTCTCTCCCAAAATGTGTTTTAACTCGAGAGTACTTCCAACCTTCTAATATTACCTCTTCAAGGTTTATCCACCTTTCAGATCTATTTTTGATGTTATTTTACTCTAAATAAATTTAAAACTTAACTAAATTCATTTCTCCTATGAGTGACCATCTCGAAACTTCAAGCATCTCAACATATCTTAGCTCTTTCTACACTCACCACGTGTATAGTTTATCCACTCTTAATTCTTTCTTACGTCATCACATATGTAAGCAGTAAAAATGTGTTACCTCCTATGTTCATATATTGATTACTGGTCCTATGCGTATCATTATCGACCTTCCCTACAAAAATGAACAAACTACCCAGGACCGAAGTGCTTCAATCAAAGGCACGTTGATGCTTAAGTTAGTAATGAAATAATATAAGAATGCTTGTAGAGAAGACTTTGCCAACCTTTTAATATGCATTCTTAGTCCTTTAAATAGGGTTATTCCTTCCTAAAGGTTCCCTATATTGATGAGCCAAGGTGGTACACCCATCATCATTCTCGGATGTTGGTTAGGGATCGCTGGAATCTCTCCAGACATTCCTCCAATTACCTAGCTCTTAGGATCCATGGATTGTGCTTATTCATAGTACCTAAATTTCCTTGATTGTAGGCACTTTATTATGATTCAGTTAGAACCATATTCTGAATAAAGCTCAACCTTGTAAACCGAATGCCTGCCTATCGTTGCTAAGTTCTTTGTAGCTCGATACGGCATTATGAACCAAGCTTGCCTAGTTCAGTTTAGTTCCAACCTTACTGTTTCTATTTTTAGGAACCACATGACCTTTCCCCTCATGTCCACATAAGTTATTTTTCTGTATATGTGGCATGATATTATGCCCCTTCACTTGCCCCTAGTAAACAAGTTCATGTGATTTTGATTGTAGTCGTTTCATATATCCATGCTAATCATTACATACCTCCTCGAGACATGCAACCCCTTTGTTTGTCCCACTCAAACATCTTTGCATTTAATGTTTCTATTTGGTGCTTGTTCACCCCCCTTTAAAAAGGGGCGAAAGGCATTGTTCCTCTACCCTTGCTTCATTCTAATTTCCTACTTCTCCTTCGTTTCTCCAATTTTTACATCTTATTCTTCTCAAATGGCTCCCCTCATAGAAGATAACCTTCCTACCTTCAGGAGCAAGTATTAGATTCCTAATGACGTTCATATTTGCGTTGTTGGAGCCGATCAACCTCTAATTGGCACTAGATAATCAATTTCTATTCATACCCAAGCCATCACTGAAGGTGGCGTAAGGTTGCCACTTCTTCCCCCTCCTTCTCTGGGTGTTTTCAGCTTTGAAGTTGTGCCCCATTCAATGTATTCACAACTTTTTTAGGATAATAATAGGAGTTGTTGTCCTCAACAATCTTTTGAACATGAGCTTGGGTCTTTGGGAGGTCCTATTTTGCTACATCATCAAGACCGCCCATGACAACTATTACTTGGCAGTGAGGAGGAAGGATCGGTACCTAGTGGTCCACCTTCCTAATTCAAAAAAGGGTCATGAAAATGACCATCTTATTTATCTCTGACAATTGGGAGTACAAAGCTGGGGCGACCCCATCGTACAGGTGCCTATATGAGGAGGGTGCACCAGTTATGCAAAAAAATGCTTCGTCTGAATTTGCCTTTTGAGATAAGTTCTCTTATGTCATTTCTTTGATTATATTTCAAGTGAAACTACTAAAGGCAAAATCCTTGAGCACTCCGTAAAGATGGACGAGTTGAGGAAGGTGTGGTTTTTCAATTAGAGCTTGTTCTGTTGAGCTGCTTATATCCTCCTTGGCTACATCTCCACTTATCACTCTTTCATTGTTGTTCCAACTCTTCCTAATGACAAATCCTCCCTAAAAGCCCAGCATCCACTTCTCCTCAGTCAGGCTAAAAGTTTGTCACCCTCTCTTTAGACAGGAATAGGCCAGTAAGAAATTTCTGAGCTTTATTACTTCAGAGCCTTCCTCTCGTTTGTGGTTGTTAAACATGCTTATGAACTTGCTTGGCCTTTGTCTCCCGACCCCAAGCTGGTGGTTATCTCGAATGACCCTTCCGAGCCTGAAGCAACTGTAACCAATTCTGAGGTTCCAAATTACGCAATTGTATCTTCTATTGAAAATGCCCCTGCCAAACCCTCAGTTCCTCCTTCTCTTGTTCGGTTGCTTGGTGTGGACTTGGCAGTCGATGACCATGTTGCAAAGAAAAGGAAGGTCACTAAATCAGCCTCTTTAGTTCACGTTGAAAGACCAGTTCCCCTATTTCACACCCATTAAAGGCGAAGGGAGAGGAAATAGATGTCAGGGACTCAGCGGCTAAGGATATGAACATGGCAGTTGGGATAGCTAGAGGAGTTATCCATCCTCGAGACTTGGCCACAAATGATGATGATAAGATTACTAGATTGGCCATTCATCAATTGGTTTTGGTATTTTACCTCTCTTTATCCTTTTTGAGTGTTTTTTAATCCTTGTGATTTTTCTTCTTCTTGTCCTTGTAACCTTTCTTCTCTTGGATTTACGGCTCCACAAATTCAGTAATGGAGCAGGCTATCTACGACCGCATGTCGGCCTTAGCCAATAAAGAAACTACGGATGCGAAATACTCTAGGCTATGTGAAGACGTGCTCGTCATTTAAGCACAAATGGCCAACCTGACTGAAAAGAATGAGACACTTGCTGCTCGAGTGAAGGAGTTGGAGGCATCTGAAGTCATGGTCAACACCGACCTCATTTAGACCCAAGAGGAGCATGTGGCTTTTCTTGAGGAACATGAGTCTCTCAAGGCTAAGTCCAAAGACTTGGAGGATGCTACCTTTGAATAGGTAATGGAGAAGGCTAAGAATGAGCTACCCCTATAGATCCCTGCAATTGAGAAACTACATTTTGCCAAAGGTTGGGTTGCTACTCTTCGGGCCGCTGAAGTGCCTTCATCCTTCGAGCTCTACTCCAGTCATGTTGCCGCCAGTTCTGCAACACCACCTACAACTTCTGAATCTTAGTTTTTAATGATATTTTAATATTTTTGTGATACTATAATCTTTTTGGATATAAGAAAGGGCTTTGTTTTGTCTCCCAGAATGTACTCAATTGTTAATATTTTAAGGTGCATTTAAACCAATATTTTGCAAATGAATGTAAATGTATGGTCACTAGCCATTTGGTAGTGATCTATGGGCATTTAAAATTTACTCATAGCAAATTGGCAATTTGCTCTACCTTCATTCTGAGAGCTAGGTATATAGCTCTTAGCTAGGGAACATTTGATACATAGAAAAATAGTCAAAGTTTGGCCCTTTGCTTAGCCTTCCTTCTAGTAGTTCGGTCCTTACTACTTAACCAGGGACCTTCTAACACTTAGTAAAATACTCAAATTTTAGCCCTTTGCTCGGACTTTCCTCTAAGAGTTCGATTGCTAGGACTTAACTAGGGACCTTTAAATACTTAGAAAAAATACTCGAAGAAGTTTGGCCCATTTTTCGACCTTTCCTCTAAGATTTCGTCCATTAGTACTTAACTGGGGACCTTTCAACACTTATAAAAAATACTCGAAGAAGTTTGGCCCTTTGTTCGGCCTTTCCTTTAAGAGTTTGGTCGTTAGCTCTTAGCTAGGGACCTTTCAACACTTGGAAATCTCTTAAAGAAGACCCAACCCTGTTTGGCCTTTCTCCTAGGAGTTTTTTTCTGTACATGCACAGGCCCATCGATCCAATTAGACTCAGATCACTCCCCATTTGGTTTACTTCGTCATGCCTAACCTTGGGCCTAGATTTTTTATTGGGTTGCTATACTTGATTTAGGTTTCGAACTCTGTCAGGCTTTTTGCCTCCCTGCCTTGGCAGGAGGATAGATTCAAAAAACAAAAATTTGCTAAATTCCTAAGAATTTTTGTTAAATTTCTTTCAATAGAAGTTCTTAAAGCACCAATGAGGAAAAATGCCCTACATGAGGTACTCCTATATTTTTAAGGTACTTCGGAGTTCTTATTTGTGAAGCAACTTCAAAAATAAAACATTCAAATATTAGTTGACTTCCACAGGTGAGGTAGCAGCATTCCACAGCTGAGGTAGCCGCCTTGGATCTATAATCTCGAGCTCATAAGATCCATTTCTTCCTTCCCAAATTACTTTGTAAGGTCCTTCCCAATTTGCACCTAGCTTCCCATGCGTTAGGTCTTTAGTGGACCCCATGATGCGTCTAAGCATGGGGGGTGAACTTTCTGGTTGTAGGCTCATGACATCTGCTGCTAATGTGCAGTTATCCAAATGGCCACTGTCTCTCTTTTGTCCTCAATCAAATCTAACTCTTGGCTAACGATGGTGTCGTTTCCCAACTATTTGCTAGGTAGTTTCTAAGTTTTGACAAACCAATCTCTAAAGGTAGCACAAGTTCCATGGCATAAGCTAGTGCGTATGGAGTTTCCCCCATTGTGTATCGTGATGTGGTTCGGTACACCTACAGCATATGGGTAACTCCTTTGTCCATTTGCCTTTCATTTGTTCCAACATTTTCTTGATTTCATCATGGGTTGTTTTGTTTGATATTTCTACCTGCCCATTACTATGTGGGTAGGCCGACGTGGAGTAGTGGTTTCGAATCTCATACTGTTGGTAAAAAGCTTTAAAGGATCCACTTTCAAACTGAGTATCGTTATCAGATATAAGGGTCGTTGGTACGCCATACCTAGTAATGATGTTCATCCATGCAAATTTTTTAGTGTTCGTATCACTTATGTTGGCTAAGGGTTCTACTCCTACCCATTTTGTGAAGTAATTGGTTGCCACAAGTAGAAACCACTTATTTTTGGCAGATCGAAGCATTGGCCCTACAATATTCAGTCTTGATTACGCAAATGGCCACGAACTTGCTAACGGTAGCAAATCTTACCCAGGTTGCCTCAATATTGGGGAAGACTTGGCATTTTTCATAGCACCTAACAAATTTTTGCTCATCTTTCTACATGTATGGCCACCAGTATCCCTAAGAAAGTGCTCAGTGAGCCAATAACAGTCCTCCTATGTATGTGCTACAACTTCTTTTGTGAATTTCAAATAGGAAATCCTAGACTTTGTTTGGGTTTACACATCGTAGGTATGGACACGTGAAAGAGCGCCAATAAAGCTCTTCTTTTTGGGGATAGCCAGAACCTAGCTGCTTTGAAAAGCACCTTATGCGCTTCCCACTTGTTCACAAGCAAGCCTCCGGTCTTGAGGTAACTTAAGATTGGATCCATTCAGCTTGGCTTCTCTTTGGCTGCCAGGACTTCGCTCGTTGATGGAGATGCAATGCTTGCCTCAACGTGGTACTTGACTGTGATAGTTCTTCCTCATTTTTCTTTAATGGTTGTAGGTAGGGATGCTAGCGCATCGGTGTGTGAATTTTTTGCTCGATCGACCTGTTGAATGGAGATACTAGAATTTGACCGAGCTTTTGCCTGGTCAAGTGGTAGTAAGCAGTTATCCTTTCATCTTTTGTCGAGTATTCCCCAAGTATCTGATTCACCACTAATTGTGAATCAAAAAAGATTTTAAGTCTCTTGACGTTTAAATCGTTAGCGAGCCTTACTCCTAGAAGTAAGGTCTCATACTTTGCCTCATTGTTTGAGGCCTGAAAGTCAAGCCTAACAGCTTTGTCAAGTATATCCCCCATCCAGGCTTTCAAGCATGACTACAATTCCTACTCCCCTATGATTCGATGGCCCGTCAATAAATAGGCTCCAACATTCTTTCGTGACCACTTTGTCACCCTTTGTCGAGCCCCTCCATCAACATTTGAGTTTGGAGGTAAGGAACTGATGTAATGGTCTCTTGGCAAGAACTCGGTGATGAATTCAGCTACCACCTGTCCCTGAATTTTTGTTTGTGGCTCGAAAAGGATGTCATATTCCCTAAGCTGTACAACCCATTTGTTAATCTTCTACATAGATCGAATTTTCCAAAAAGGGCTTTGAGGGGCTAGTCAGTTGGCACTATAATGGTATGGGCATGTAAGTAATGACGCAACTTTTGATCTAAGACCACTAGTGCAAGTGCCAACTTCTCAAGCGGCAAATATCCCATCTCTGCATCGAGGAACATTTTGCTGACATAGTAGATCGGGCTCATTCCTTATTGGGAGGTTCTCATTAGTGCCCTACAAACAGCATGCTCTAACATGGCTAGGTACAACAACAAACATTCTTTTGGGGATGGTGTGATTAGAACTGGTGGAGTGACCAAATATGACTTCAAATTAATGAAGGCATCATTTCATATCACTTTGTCCTTCTGTTTAATTTACTAGAATAAATGGTTTCCATTTTTCCAAAGCCTTGGATATAAATCTTCTGAAGGCTGCCGCCATTACCTTCAATCTTTGGACCTCCTTGACCATCTTGGGTAGGGTAGTAACTGTGTCAAAGCCTTCACTTGATCGGATTTTGCTTCGATTCCTTGATGGGTGACCAAGAAGCCTAAAACTTTTCTAGAGTCAACCCCAAATGCGCTTTTTGAGGCATTTAGTTTCATTTGATACTTACAAATGACTTCAAAATTCCTACTTAAGTCGGCAAAATGGACATTTTCCTTTCGGCTTTTTACCACCATGTCATAGATATAGACTTCCATGGTGTCATGTAACATACCTAAAAACATCTTCATTACCAGTCTTTGGTATGTTGCCCTTGCAATTTCTACTCCAAGCGGCATGCCTCAATAGTAGTATATTACCTCAGGAGTTATGAATGAGGTCTTCTCCTGATCTTGCTCGACAAGTGATATCTAATGGTATCCCCAATACGCATCATGGAAACTTATCTATTCGTGACTAGAGGTTGAGTCGGCCAGTTGGTAAATCTTCGGCAAAAGGAAGCTATCCTTGGGACACACCTTATTCAAATTGGTGAAGTCGATGCACACCCTCCATTTTCTTGTCTTCTTCTTAACCACAACCGTATTTAATAACCAAATCAGGTATTAGACCTTTTTGATAGTTTGTGCTTTCAGCAAATTCGCTACATCTTCCTTCACTACCTCCCTATGTTGTGACACCAACCTTCTTTATTTCTGCTTCACTGGTTTGAAACTCGATTCAATGTTTAAGTGATGGCACACAACCTTGGGAGGAACTCATGGCATTTTGTATGTCATCTAGACAAACACATCAATATACTCCATGAGAAGTGATACTAAACACGCATGCTCCTCGGCCATTAACGAGAAGCCTAGCAAGAATTATCTTTCGGCATCCCCCTTTAGAGGTACTCTTGTTAGGTCCTCCACCATGCGATTCATCATGTA